TAGGGAATGTATAAATATTTGGGGAAAAGGGATCCATGACTGAGCCTTGAGACACATTGGTACTAAGATGTCTGTTAGAGAAGAAAGAATCAATAAGGCTGGTGAAAACTCCAAGAACATGGGGGCCACAGGATTCCAGATAGTACACCAAGAAGGAGGAAGTACTCAGCAATGTCAAATGCCACTGAGAAGCCAAGTCAGATGAGAAAGGAAAATTTACTACTGACTTTTGCATTGTTTGGCTTTAAGAACCCTTTTAAGAGTGGTGAGGATAGACCAAGCCACAGTGGCACAGGCAGTGGGGGGACTGCTATGCAATGCTGGAGACCATATGGGAAGGTTCCAGGGTACGTCTCACATGTACCTCAACACACCAGCCTGCAGATGCACCCGATGCACCCATAATCCTAGCTGAAGGTGCTGCTTAGAGAGGATCATGGCATGAAGATTCTGTCAAGGTATTCCTCTTCCTCTCTGATGAAGGAAATACATTTTAGCAATTTATGAGGACAAAGGCTCAATTGGGAAGAAGAGGATGAGCAGCAAAGAAGTGGAGAAGCAAGAAAATGGAGGTAGCGAGGTTCTTTTCTGTAGAGGAGTGATGGAATAGCATGAGAGCCAGAGAAGAAATGTATTAAATGTATTAAAGAAATGTATTAAAGGGTTTGGTTTGCTTTGACTTTTAGTGAGTGATATTTTAGACTAATATAATGTTGATATTTATAATCTAATAGATCAGCATATGCTGATGATATAGCAAGAGGAGCTTGTTTTAGGTTTTGTTTTGTTCTTTTCTGAGAGAGATCTTTGCTGTAAGGCACGTGTACTCTCCAGAGAGACAGAGAGAGACAAAGACAGAAAGCAATAAACCAACCCCCAGGGAGAATGGCCACACTGCAATCCCTTCTTCTCCATTTTCCTCTCATGATTTTGGAACCATACACACACATAAACACACACACACACACACACACACACACACAGTGAGGATTTCAAGTTGCTGGGTCCAAGGCTTGAACAGTGTTCGGCCATGTGGGAATCCAGTGCCCCAACCACCATGCCCCCTGCTGGACCAGGAGCAGTAAAGACTTCAAAGAAAATCCTTGGGAATTTAAGAATGAGTAGAAACCAGGACATAAGTGGTAGGGATGGCTTTAGCTTATAAGCTAGAACAGTTACTCTATTATAATAGAAGGAATGGCAAAAAAGTGAAAACAGAGGCAGATGGTTAAATAGAACTAGTGATTTAAAGCACAATGTGAAATCCACATACAAATCTCTAGTAGCATAGAAGCAGCATTTCTTTACATTTCTCTTTGACTTTTTTTTGCCTATATTTTTGTTTTTCTTGGACTTATTACCCTTTGGCAAGAAAATAGTCACAGTAGCTCTACACGTTACATGCCCTTAAACACCAATGGGGAAACAAAGAACATTCTTTTTCGTAAGACTACTTCATAGACTGAAGAAAACATCCTAACAGGTCTCAGCAAACTGCTCAACATGCCAGAATAGCAGCACAAGTCCATTCTTAAAACAATCTCTGGAAGGGAAATGGGGACACTAGGATTCACTCAAATTAATCAGAAACTTCTTTGTGAAGGAGTGGATGTCTGGAAAAAACTGGGTTAGCAAGAAAAAAGTGTATGCATGGCTGAGAATATAGGCTAACAGTGTCTGTTCATTGAGAATAAAGCCAGCACAGAAAAAAAAAAAAGACACAAATTTATGAAGGGATGTCCACATATAATATTACTTAAGGATTTTAGATGGGATGAACCAATAAATTCCTTTCATGCTTAAGCCCGGTATGAGTCAGGTTCTACCACCTTCAATCAAAAGCTCACTGGTTAGTATACTTACTCAGAGCGTTCTTTTGAATATAACAAGTCTTTTATTTTTATCTACATGAACTACAAAAATCGTTCAGTTTCCTACCTTTATTCTACCAGCTATTCTTACACATTCTCTTTCTTTCTCACTTCTTGCCTTATGTTGTTCTCTTAACTTGCTGCTTCTCTGCCTTCATGTCTATCTCTTAAAAATCTTGACTATATTTCATAGCTATATTTCAAACATCATCTCTTCTTCCAGAAGCACTTCTAAAAATTCTCAATTTAGCATGGGCTCTCCTTCATCTGAGCTTCAGAGCAGCTCTCTGAATAGCACTTAAAATATACACATGGGACTGGATTGTGACACAGTGGTAAAACACATGCTCTCCAAGGCTGACCCACATGGAAATATACCAGGTTTGTGTCCAGAGACCTTCCTGAGTACACCTGGCATATGAATGCCCAAGATCCTAGGCTGGCTGAGACTGGGAATGGATTGGATCATCACTCTATTGGGACTGCTATCTCCCTGTTTTTGACTCTATTTCTCTCTGTCTCTCTTTTGCTTATGGAAGACCTAATAAATAAATAAATAAACTTTAATAATAAAATACACATATGTAGTCTATTAAGATAATTTCAAAATAGTTTTATATATCACTATCTAAATGATTTTCATATTGCAGAAATAGGAAACAAAGCAAAGATAGACGAAGTGATTTGTGCAGTGTCTAAATTAGCACATGGGCTTAACCCCAGGATTCACACTCTTTGCACCTGTCAGGTACAACACATTGTGCTGACCCACTAAGATGTCGTCTCTGACCATTTAATTGTGCCGCCCCAACTTGTGGTAGTCTCATACGGTATGATTATCATGCCTTGCATATAACGAGTATTCAACAAATTACTTCATTAGTCAAACTGCCTGGTTTTATATGTAGATCTAGAATTATCAATGATAACTATATATAAAAATACAGATAAGACAACAATATTTATTCTTTCAAAAGTACATTCTGGTATATCCAAAGCAGATTTCCAATAGTCTACCACCAGTCTGTACTAAGTAAACCATTCTACACAGTTCTATGAAATAAGTAAGATAATTTGACAGAGAATGCTTCAATATATCATTTCAATGAAATAAGTACCACCCACAAGGAAGAGAAGATTATAGGAAATTAATATCATTTCCTCAAATCCAGAAGTTGAATACTGGTTAAGAAAATAGCATCCTCATGCTGGGAAATTAGACAGGGAGAAATTAGCATTAATTCTATATTTATCTAAAGAATTACTCAGTTTTCATGTAACTATGCTACTTGAAATCTTAAGAGAAAAGAGGTAGAAAGAGTTAGCACTTCATACTTAAAAAAAATAATAATAATAAGCAAAACACAACAGCAACAGCAAAACACAACCTGAACAGACAACAGATTTTAAACATCATCTAATCTTTAGCAGATAATATTCATATCAGTGACTAATTATATAAGGGGTCCTGTATGTCACAGAAAAGGAAGAAGGAAATACTTCTCTCCTTACTGTCTGTGGGAATTAATTTTTAAGAAAAGGACGCTTTCATCATTTTTTTCTTCTGGACCTAAATTTAAAATATTTCTTATAATACAGCTGAGCCACCGACTTACTGATGAATAGTTTATAATATGAAATATAGTCAGATACTTCCTTTAAGTGAAATCTTTAACTATTACAATAAAGTAACAATTACAATCCTTCATATTCTTTTTTCTCAAGTTTTACAAAATTTCTTAAAATATAAACAAACCGATCAGCAATTGGCATAATGGCTATGTTGCTGGACTCCCACATAGTCGACCGCAGTTTGATTCCCGGACCTGGTGGCTTAAACTCACACAGGGTGCGTGTGCGTGCATGCCCAAGATCTCAAGAGGCGAATGGAGGAGAAGGGATTGCGGCATGGTAAATCCTTCATAATGTGTTGAAAGAATTTACACACCCTTTACAGATAACATTTTTTGTGATTAATAAGTGAGCAAAGAGGAGGCAAGGAATCAAACAGGAGATAAGATACTATCCCTTCACTGGATATTATTCCAGGAATTTGTACTGATTTCAACACAGAATTCTTTCTACGTGCTTTAAAGTAAGGTGAGGCCCATTCTATCTTTTTTTCTTTTTAAGTTCCTCTTTAACCTCTGATTATTGACTCAGAAGTAAATTCATATTTTTCATTGCTATAATCTTTTTCTTTCCTCTATAAAAGTACAGCACATCTGAATTTGATTGGTGCTAGTCATGGTAAAATTTGACCATGAAGGGTTTGCTTACGTGGTTTGTGTTTCAAATAAAAAGTCTGAGGACTAAATCATTCACAAAAATGTTGTAACAGATTAGATATATAAATGAATGTATGTAGAAATTAGATAAATAGATTGTAGATGAGAGATAGATATGAAGCTAGAGAGAGGATATTATAAGCCCTATAATCTTCCTCAGCAATGTTATATAACCTTTTTCTGTACCAGTAAATATATTCAAATACTTATCTTTTATCTTGTGTCTGGTACAAAAGAGCAGAAGAAACACTATATGTTAACCCAGTAATTTTTTTTCATTATCAAAGGCTATTACTTATTTTAGTCTCATTGACCTCCTCAGGTCTGGAAACACTTACTGTTCTTTGCATTAGCAGAGAGTCTTTTCCTTTCTTAAAACTTGATTCCATACCGATTATATTCTCAATAATGTCCTCCATCTAGCAAAATATAATACATTTAGAATATTGTATATTATGATGAAAGTTGTGCTAAAATCAGAGTGAAAAATTCTAGCAATCCACATAAGTTATTTTAGGCAATTTAAATTGAGGTCATAAGTATATCAAAACATAGAGTATTTTAGACCTGAAAAATCAGGTAATCTTGTCACTGATCTGTTGCTTTTGCTTGCATTTGCTTCCACAAGCTGACAGGTGACAGCTGGGGAAAGCCCCCTGGGCTATTTCCTTAGAAATCAGTATTTACATAAATAGGTGGTTAGCATAAAGTCCCTTAAGCTGAAATCCATATAATCAGTATGTAGAGAGATAACTTTCTACAAACTATGCTTGTTTTAAAGTGTTTTGATTGCCCTGTACAAATAGATATCCAAATATCAATGGTCAAGTTTCACCACATAGATGTAGACTACATGGGGATATATTAACCCATTCTCTAATGACTAATAGTACTAATATCAACAAAACAACCGTTCTAATCGTAGACACTCTAATAGTATCAGTAACAAACACTTGCACAGTACATGAGCTTGTCAGGCACTGTGGCAAGTGCTTTGCATGCACTGGCTCTTCTAGTGGATACTATATTATCTCCATTACACAGATGAGGAAACTGGGGAAAAAATTTCAATATTTTGTCTCAGATTATTTAATAATTAGTGAGTGGCAGCATAGGATTAAAATACTGAAAATCTGGCCCTATAGTCCTAACTTCAATCAGCAATTTCTTTTCTCAATTCCTTTGCAAAATAGCCTTTCTTCTCTCTGTAGAGAAGATTTATGTGGAAGGAGATTTTAAAAGTTTGTATATGTAAAAGACCAGGCTTGCTTCTCTCTCTTTCCTATTTCTAGCTCTCTTCTCTCTAATCATGTGCTCTTTAATGACAATGCTAAATATGATGAAAACCCAAGTATATTGTGCATGTGGAATGTGCAGAAGTGAATTTTTCATGACATGCAGAAATAATCAGGAGTAAATATTGATCATATTTATTTTTAATTTTTATATCATTATTATTCTTTAATTTGACCAGAGAGTAACCGAGTGAGAGGGAAAGTGAGAACGCAAGCCACTGGATCTGGGACTCAAACAATAGTTGGCCATGTAGGAGCCAAGCACCTTAACCACCGCACCAGCCCCTGACTGTATCTTATGATTCCATTAATATTATCTTCTAAGTAGGATTTCTGGGAAACTAGAGACTCAGGTGTTGAGAATTCTATTAAGATACTCCCAAAAGCGGTAGGTCAAACAATTGGAATATTATTACTATATTAATTTAACAAATAGTTATTAAAAAATATTTTTTATGAAGTCTTGTAAGAACCAGAGCTACCATACCCAATAGCATAAAGCTCCTGCCCTCATGGATCTAAAATGATACAGAGAAAACATACAATAAACTTAATAACAAATAGTGACCAGAAGAAATTAAAGTAGGCAGAGGATACAGCTTAATGGGAATATATGTTATTTTAGGCAAAGGACAGAGAAGTATTCATTGATATTTGAAGGGACACAAAAATAACATGGGGAAGAGTAGTCCAAGGAAAGGAATCAAGAAATGCAAAATACTAAGGTAGAGACAAATTCAACATATTTAAGAAAGTGAGTGGATGGATGGAAATGGAACAAAGTGAATGAGGGCAAGAGGAATTCAAGATGAGTTGAAAAATAGGCAAGGAACTGACATTTTGGAACTCAGTAGGTCGGAGGTGTCTAGTAGAAATTTCTACAATAATGAGAATGCTCTGTACTCACACCGTCCGATATGGTAATGACTAACCACATATATATGACTACAGAATACGTGAAATGTGGCTAGCATAACAAAGGACTTGAAATTATAATTTCATTGAATTCTTTAATGGTTGAGATGATGGGCATACTAGTTACCCTCATTTAATCATTATACATTGTTTCTATGTACTGAAAAATCAAATTGTACCCTCATGCATACATACAATTATTATATATTAATTAAAATTTACAAATTAAAAAATAAAATAATAAAATAAAATAGAAGCCTTATGCATAAAATGCTTATGTGTGCATTCCTTACAATGCTACAAAACTGCAACAACAAAAGCTTAATGGTAATTATTAAAGTTTTTATTTATTAAAACATAATAATAAAGAACATTTTTTAAAGAAAAAATTTTATTGAATTGGAAATAATCTAAAGTTAAATTTAGCCACATGTGGCTAGTAGGTACTATATCAGAGAGGGCAGTCGTTGGCCAAGGTTAGGACAGCAGATGTTCCACTTGCATTGAGATCTTTAAAGGATCTAAGATAATGAACATCCATCATATTTTGTTTCTTTTGTTAGTTTGGTCTCTGAAAATTAAAAGTGAATTATTGATTGTTATTAAATTCAAATTTTTATTTCAAATTTTGCTCATACTAAATGGACACTGTTAAATGGACAACAAATTAACAGAAGCGAAGACCCGATCGGATCTTAAGACTCCATTAATACTATCTTCTAAGCAGGATTTCTGGGAAATCTAGAGACTCGAGTGTTGAGAATTCTATTAAGATCCTTCTAGGGACCAGCAGTTGGTGTAATGGCTATGTCGCTGGACTCTCACATAGTCGACCGTGGGTC